ATGTGAAACCACACATGATTTGCTGCTTCTTAGGTACAGAAGATGGCAGTGTTGTGCACTTTACAACTGATGGACCATTGACACCCATGAAAGTTTTGAAAAAATACAGTAAAACGTGTTTCATAAATCTTATTTCATTAAGTAATTACAACTGTAACATTTCACCTTCTTTTCAACACAGTAAGTGCTGTACAGTAACCTTCATTTATCTGTAAGTCAAGCCTGACTTTCATTGGTATGCTACATTCTGGCATTTTCCTGATATACTTTGGGAAAGAACCATCTTGAGCTTATATATTTCAGCAGTGAAAAGGAGGATCTCTTGTAAGAAAACACAAAATACATCAACTGTTACAGATACTCATAATGGTTCTGGAAAAAGCTCTGGAAAAACACCTCTTTGAAACAGGAATACAATAATTGTGGTTTTCTCCATATTGTTTATTCTTATTAATTTATACACATAATAGCAGTTTGATATTCAAGTGCAGCACTGAATTCCATACAATTTAATTGATAAGGTGTCAGAAAGAAACAAAAAATGTCCATTCACATACCGAAAGTAATGTGGCATTCTGGTTAATAGCTGTTAGGCCTTACATGGGGATTATAGACCACAGGCCTTTTCAAGCAGTTTATTTCTGTGGAAACCTACACGAAGTGTGTGGAACTCCCATGTTTCCTAAAGAAGAATAAATACACCTGTATGGTATGGTACTATATGAAGCCTATCACGGGAAGGCCAGTACTGGATACACTGATGGTACTTCACAGAACATGGCAGAACAGAGAAACTTTCCTCCTACAACTTGAAGTTACATATCATACTGCATTATAAGTCTCTGGGTGTATTCTAAGACCTGTGCACAGAATTCTGCATGCAGCAGACCCACTCTGGTCAAGAGTACAGGTACTCCATTTAGCACACATTTGCACTTCATTTCCTTGTGCTTCTGGTTTCCATTTCTGTCATATTTCCTTCCATTGTGGACTGACATAATCAGATAAGAACTGTTCACTCTCTTTGTTGTATGCCAAAGCCCTGTGTTGAAAAAAGGAAGGTAATTTTTATAAGCATACGGGTTACCTAGAAGTTGCCCTCATCATAATTTTGGCCATACACTCCAATAGGAGAGTGGTCCTCATGGAACCTTACTGCTTTTATTTTCCTTCCTGAAGAAAATTGACATAAGAGAGCATGATACAAATGGCAATAAATCACTGGTACTGATTTGTTTGACTAAGAAAGTGATCTTGACTAGGAGACATTCAGGAAGTGTGGGTTTGAGATGGGAAATAGTTCTTGTTGACACTTCAGGGATGTGAATTGTACTGTAACAGTGAAATGATGGAAGCAGCAGCATCCTATGCAACACCCTCTGCAGCCCATTGTGGGCAGTCCTTGGTGCTTTCCAATGCAGAGTGCACATTTTAAGGCAATATATGTGAAATCTGGAGATTTCACAATCTGGAGACATCCTTCCCCTGCCTGCTGCCCAGTGGCTACACTACAGGCTCAGATTTCTCATATACTGTCTGATCTGTGAGCACTGATAAAAACTCTGTAACGGTGTAAGTCACTTTTGCATTATTACATTGATGACAGTGGTGGTGGTCCGCATTCAGCATCCTGTTTCCCGAAAAATTGCTGGAAAAACTCCCGTTTAATGAGACTTAGAGGACCTGGTCTCTTGGATGATACTGTAATTCACATAGATCCTAATCTCATCAGCTTCTGAAGTCAGCAGAAGGTGTGCAGTGTTTCCATTTCACCTGGGGAATTGCAAAGCACTGTGTACAATTAGATCTGCAGTTCTCCAGGTACATTTCCATGAGTGACTAATGCTGACAGTAGCACATTGACTCTTTCCTCATGAGAGTTGAACACAGCTATTTAAGACTAAATATTAACTTTGTCAGAGTTTAAAACTGTTAATTTGTCAAATTTGAAAACTGAGGTTAAGTTTGGCCATAGCTGTTAATTAACTTATATGATAGCTCTCAATATTTTACTTTCCTGGGATTTTCCATTTCAAAGCCTTTGAAAGAAGCAGAAAAGTACCTTGCTAATCATGTTGATAAGATTGAAGGGGTTTGTTTGTTTTACCAAGTCATATGCTTTCTTGAAATTTCAGTCCTTTCTTGATTTGTTTGGAAGTCCAAATTACAGTATACTGTTAAGTACATGCATACAAGCAATACATGAACTTCTGGAAGTCACAAACACTGAAAAAAAACATCAGTATACTGGTATTTTCAACAGTTCATTTAGTACAGGAAGAGAAATAGTTCCTTGCACTTGATCAGTGATATTTCTGGGATGTAGATCGTGCATGAGATTCTGCATGGCTACCACCTGTAGCTCAACAGTAGTCAGGAAAAACAAAGTTACTATAAAAGAGGAACTATCTAAAAATCTAACACCTCACAGAGTAACAGAGTTAAAGCCATACCTTGCATATATGCATGTAGATTGTCATTTGTTAAAGCAGATGGATGCCTGACTAATTAATTTGTGGCAAATAAATGCAGAGATGCTTCAACAATGCTACTTATCTGTCTAAAATGGGAGCTAAAATGGGTAATAAACCCATGCATGTAAATTTATTACTGAGGTATGAAGTGACAGGATGTCTGTCTTTGTAGGTTATGCTGGATAATCTAGAATTACCATGCATGTAGATTTATTACCGAGATATGAAGTGACAGGATGTCTGTCTTTTTACATTATGCTGATAATCTAAAATGCCATTTGTAACCTGAAAGATTAGGGAGATTTTTAAAACAGTATTTAAAAATGCCATTAATTTGAAGAAAAGTTATCTTTCTGCTAACATCTCTCTAGTCTAGCTTGTCCTTCTAGCTTATTTAAAAAACATGCTGGCTTTGGAAAAAGATTCGTAGATGTGCAGCAATCAGTTGTTTACATGCAGTGCATATACAACTGGCTAAGCACATGAGCTGTCAGCTGGATGGGTTTTTCCTGGATCCAAACTGCTATGCACATATATATCAACTGTGCGATGCTCTCCCTGTGAGCTCTGAGCTAGGGTTTTTATCACACTGCTGCTTCTCCTGGCCTCCTCCCCTCTCCGCTGGAAAAAAGCATTTGCCTTGCTGCTTGCCAGCAAGACAAATTGGGGAAAATCAGCCACCCCAGCTGGAAGTTAGCAGCCCTGGTCAGGGAACCGAGTCATGTTGTCTGAGGTTGCTCATGCTGGGTGTTGTGTGCCTTCGATGTACTTTGACACCAGCTCCTTGTGATTCTGAGGGAAAGAACTGATTTACAGTGGTTTACAGCAGGGAGGAATGGTGATGCCACGTATCGACGCTCAGTTCTCTTTGCCTTCTGACAGCAGGGAAACCACATTTGGCTTTTCCCTTCCCTTCCTAAGTTCTCCAGTATTTTCTCCAAAGGTAAAAAAAGGTTCACATGCTTATTATTGAAGTAATGCACATGAATTTAGAATGAAACTGATCACATTCACGTTCTTCTAAGGATTTTTTAAATTACAAATTTTACAGAGAAGTCTTTCATACATCTGTACATTTTTCAGTGCTCTCCTTCTGATCCATGCGTATGCAGTGTGTTAGTTGAAGCTGTCATTAGAAGTGAATACATGATTTTTATGTTTTCATAGGCATAGATCAAACGTCTGAGCAGATAATGTATCCAGTAATTTTGTACTCAGAACTGGTTGCCTAGTGAGAGCAAACAGGTGCCCAGAAATTAGTTTGATTTAATGACTTCTAAAGATGGGATATCAAGTCCTTTAACAGTGGCTTCTAAAAATAAGATTAAATTAGTAAAACACTAAGTTCTCAATTACCTGAAAGTCCAAGTATTCCTATGTAGTAAATACTGGTTATTGTTTTCCATAAATTTAGTCACACAGTTCAGTGAAATTTTCTCATTCTTGTGCAGGTCTTTGGTTTTGCAGTCTCAAGACACACTTCTTAGTGCTAAAGGACCAACTGAAAGTAATTTTGAAGCTATTTTCGATTTGTGAACTAACCATTAATCAGAGTGGCTACAGGGGGACTACAGCAGCAGAGTGAAATAAAATAATCCTGTCTTGCTACCCAGAATGCAAAGACTGTTCAAGTACTTATGATACATTCCAGTTTCTGAATTCATTCTCCTCTGCATTTCTTAAAGTATTTTCACATGTGTGCATATATGTATACACAGCATGCCATGTCTACAAAACAGAGTATGTGCTTATTCACCATGCTTCTACAAAGTCTCATTTTATTGTACCTCTTCTTATTCTAGTTGCTACCATAATGATCCTCCAAGAGCAAGAAAGTATTTTTCCACTTTTATAACATTCTTTTCATGCAAAGCAATGCCTCAGTTGTGAGGCTTTTGTGGGGAATGAGATGTTCGCTCTGCCAGGCTCAGACAAACTCCTTAGCCAGAAAGTGGAGTGGGGCTTTGTCAGGGTTGGGGGTGCATGCCACTGGGAGGATGATGCTGGCTCGTCAGAAGTCCTGCGAGTTCAAAGGCAAAGAAGAGGAAAATCTGGAGCCTTGTTTTTTGGGGCTGGGGCTTCTGTGTTCGTCACTCGTTTATTTTGGGTTGAAAAAGGTGTCTAGTCTTCCTTTATCCTCAGGGGCCCTCTGTGGGGCCAGCCAGTTTCTGAAGCAAGCTGGGCAGCAGCTTCCTTTGGGATCCAGCGGCACCTGAGCTTCAAATTCACCTGCTGTGGGTAAGAACACAGCATCCTACCACTGCAGTCACTGGCTGCTCAGCTGTAATGTCCCTTGGACATCTGTATGCCTGTCTTACATCGCATATATGAGGAAAAAAGGTTGGTCTGGTGAAGTTTTGTATTATTCTAAAAAGGAAGAAGGAAAATTAAGAAGCTGTTATGGCTTTTTTACTACATAAAAAAGATAGTAAATAACTAACAGAAGACACTTGTTTCTAGTGCCTGTTTTAGCTAAAATAATGGGGGTTAATTATTAAACCCTTGGTTGCTCACATATGCTCCTGATGCTTTAATCCTGGGTCACAGAAAGTTTAAGAGTGCTTTACAGGGGAGCCTCACTTCTTCAGCCTTTCCATGCTGACAGGATGTTACGGGTTTTGCTGGTTACTCTCTCTGTAGCTGCTATTGCTCATGCTGAGCTCTGCAAGCCAGGTAAGTTTTGGAGCTTATTCCCACCCTTTCCCAGATAAATGTAGCTATGAGTTTACATCTGTAATGCTGCCAGCTTCTCAGATTTTTATTGTAACTGGTTGTCTCTGGTTTGGAGGTTGAAATGCTGAGCATTCACTTCTTTTATGAGTTTGCAAATTAAATCTGGAAGTTGATCTCACTTAAAAAGGTCGTGGTAACTCTCACTGAGACTCTGTAGGGCTATGGCTTTTTTCACGCCAGTAACTTCTGTCCTCCTAACTGGATGATCTGTAGAGACAAATTTAGAAGAGCTGCCATTTGTGAAATAATCAGAGAAGTAAATAAGTCCTATTTTGGCTGATTGTCAATATATGTTTCCTTTTTTCTCTCTTTGTGCCAGATGCACAGAATGCTTTCAAAGTACGGCTTAGTATCAAAACAGCTTTGGGAGATGATGCAGTAAGTAAAATATCTTCACATATTCATCCTAACTGAATATATAAGAAGTAATGTATACTGTAAAGTTTCTGAAGGCAGCACAAGCAATTTGTTTTGAAGTGTTAATTGTAATAGATGTGCTCAAGTCATGATCCAGGCATCCATTTCTTGACATTTGACTAGTCCGCTCCTTAAAATGGGATCCTTTAAGAGAAGTATAAAGCTCATATTTTCATAAAGATAATATTCTGTGAAATATTTTATTTTTTTCCTGGAAAAACAGTAGAAGTATTACACTTTATGCATGAGAGGTGCAGCATAAAACTTAGTCTGTATTTTGGGAAAAGCACTTCTACTTCAGTGCTAATTGTAAAGTCAAGTATGTCTGGGAAGAGAAGCAGGAAAAGATTGTTAGGTCTTTATAAAATGGGACTTATGTCAGACTCTCAGACTGCTCTGGAGAGATCATTCAAGCATATCTCATCAATTCCCTACTAATGTAGGGCTTCATCAGACAGTGGCCTTTCTTCTCATGAGGCTCATGAGGACTAGAATGCTTCAGCTTAAAGCAGGTCCTTGAGCTTAATGAAGTACTGTTGTGAGCAATAAGGGTCTGTGATACATAAGAGACTGGGACATTGGATGACTGAATGGTCCTTCCTGATCTAAAGCACTATGAAATATGGCAGAGCTCAGTACTTTGTTTGCAGTGTAGAATGCTTAGAGCAAATCTGCAGTGTGATACAGCATAAAATTAGATATGAAATGTCTTGAGCAGTTTTCTATCTGGAAGTCTGGTGTCTAATTATGTTAGGAGCCCTGGGAAACAAAAAGCAGTTGGTTACATATTATAAGACATTGGAGACGTGTAAGTCTCCCTGTGACTGTAGAAGCCTTTCCAAAATTAGAGGTGGTGTAGCTGCTGTGCTTGGAGCTGGGGTAGCTGCACTGTCTGTTGCAGTCGAAGTTTGAGTAGCTGCTTTGCTTGCCACTGGGGTAGCTGTGCTGTTCATTGCAGCAAGAGTTTGAGTAGCGACTGTACTTGTTGCTGGGGGTGGTGAAGCTGCTGTGCCTGGAGCTGGAGTAGCTGCACTGACTGTTGCTTTGCCCTCACATCCACTGACATTTTTTTCCTTTTGAAGGTGCTGGACAGTGTTGAACAAGGCCCTGTAAGCATAGGCCAAGCCCCAGCACGTTGCCATGATTTGTCCATCTCTGGTATGGCCAGAATGGCCACACAACTCATTTAAGGGTTTCACCATTCTGGATTTTGCAGTTGTTCGGTGGTGAAATTCCAAAGTACTGGAGGGGCCCACTGACCTAGATACTTGCCCATACTATCCCACACACCCTGCCACTCATGGCTGTCCAGCCTCAGGGAAAATCTCTTGGTCCTCCTACATCGTCGTTTGACCCCAGACAAGACCCAGACCTGACTCTGCTTAACTCTTGAAATCATTCGTGAGCAAAATACACTCTGTATGCATGCCAACATGGTGCTCCCCATCACGATCAGCAAACAAGTCTCAACAGCATTAAAAGGCCATTCAGAAACTTCAAAACTCACAAATGTAAATGGTCTGGGGGGAGGACTGGGAGGGTAAAAGGATGTCTCCTTCACAGGTTGACCACCTGAGGAGAAAAAAGATGTGTAATTGCTAAGCACTTCTATTATATACCTCCCAAAGTATAAAGGTGGTGACCACACTGGGAACATAAACCAGATCAGTTTCATGATCAATGATTCTATTGTATTACAAGTCATTACCATAAAGTACAATAAGACAAAAACCTTAGCCCAAGCCCCACACTTGAAAAACACTAATACAGCAAATACCGGATGGAAGTAAGATACGATATACTGAAACTGTGAGATCAAGAGGAACAACCTTGAGCGCAAATAAATCAGCATTGTGACGAGTGACTATTAATCCAGTCAGATCCGTCATTATCTCAACCCTTCGGGCCCCATGTTGGCGCCAAAAAGAACTGTTGTGGTTTAAAACCTAGCCAGACAGGTTGTTCACTCACTCCTAGTGAGTGGTGCCGGGCTGGAAGCAATTGAGGCCCCCCCCAACCAACCTGGGGTCTCTCCCCTTCCTCACTCCCGGAGGGATGGGGAGGAGAATCAAAAGTGCAACTCCCACGGGCTGAGACAAGAACAGTCCAGTAACCAAGCTGACATTAGCAGGGGCCTTATCCTGCTGATAACTTCATAAACCAGACAAATTGGGAAGAAAAGTTCCAGATACATGCTAAAGTATTTGTGGAAATTCATATTGAAATCAATTCACTTGGGTGAGAGACTTTAATTAAACAGTAGTGTGAGCCTGATTAGTTCAAAAATTTATTGAAAATAGTGTTCTATGGCTTCTGTTATTGAAGCTTCTCTCGATGGTAACTGTAATGTTTCGATTTAATCTTGGTTCAAAATAGTAGCAAGGAATGAAAATTGCAGTTCCCAGTAATGTTCTTTCTTAGTGCTTTTTCCTTCTCCAATTGTAGTAAAATAAGGGGGGGGGGGAGGGGTATTTGATCATTTGGGACCTTTTTTTTATTATTTTTCATCTAAAAAGGCTTTGATACAAATAATGAATCTTGAAGTCATTTTGTATCACAAGAAAAAAGCAGTAACTGAGGAGTCTATTTTTTTTTTTAGATAGTAGTTTATTTCATATATATCTTCTGAATGGGACAGTTTAGAACAGCATTTTAGAACAACAACATGCAGAAAGTGGTATGATGCCATACAGAATTATTCACAAATAATGAACAATTTACAAAGTGCACAGGTAGTAGTTGCTTCTTTCCGTAGGCTTTGCAGTCTTCTTTGCAAATGCCTGAAACTGAAAACTGAAACTACTATCAAACTGAAATTTATTTTGATTGAATAATTTGGAACACTTTTTCATTTTATTTATCTCTTTTAGCAAAGAAAAGCATAATGATGTCACTGTATCACAGTAGGACACAGCCTGCTTAGAACATCTTGGTTATGATGATCTGCTGCTAATTTTTTTCCCATTCATTTCCAAGTCACTTCAAGCTGGATTACAATACAAAACACTGATACTGTGGGCATTTTGCTCTAGGATTGGCAGGATAACTCCAATGTGCAGGGGCACAGAAAATAGGTTACTGTCGTTTTCCACAAGGTTTAGTGCATGCCACTTTTTGTGAGGCTGATAAAGACAGGACACCATTTTTTAATCTGTTTACAAGGCAGGCTGTACTTTGAGGCAGGAGTGCCATTTCATATATTTATATGGTTCTTATCACAATGGAGCTGGAAAGAGCAGCTAAGAGACCGTATGTATTTAGCTGTTACCATTTTATTTGCAAATAATGGGTGTACTTGATATTGTTTGCTAACTAGTAGGAGGAGACATGGTATCTGTAGCCTAAATGAAAGGAAAGTGATTTGTGAGTCTGAGGATGATGTTAACTTTATGAGTAGCTTCTGGAATAGGTGCTAGTCACTAGTTGCTTCCTATGCATGGAGGTAGCAGAGTGCTAGAGAGTTAATTCAAAAGGGCCAAAGACAGCTAGGAAGTGAATAGAAATTATATGCCCTGAGAATTCCATGTAAGTCTGTGTCACCACTCAGTTTAAATGTCAGAGTCAGAAAGCTGGTACCTCAGGGGCTGCAGACAGGTGAAATAGAAGTATGTTCATATGTCTGTAGCCATACTGTAGCCTGAATGGCTGTTTAATTAAAACACAGAACTGTTCAAGAGGGAGGGGACCTTGGAAGGTCCCTAGTCCCCTGCTGCTCAAAGCCAGGTCAACACTGAAATCAGATCAGGTTGCTCACGGCAATTTTGTAATATTATAATCTATCTTGTTCTGCTACTTTAACATTTAATGTTATCTTCCTTAGAGCATTACTATACCATTTCACCTCATCAACAACTTACACATCTATCATCAACCTCCGCTTTTGCTACAGGCACTTAAAACTGGCTTTTACAGTCAGCTGTGTCTAATTCTCCTCCTCCGTAACATATAAAGGATGACAAGCGCAACTGAGCCATGGTCTTTGTGTGTGTTCCTCTGTGTAGCAAAGAAGATGGTAAACAGTAACGTTTCTGATACTGTCATGTAAGGTTTCATTGATAACAGAGTTATGCTTATAGTGTGTGGTTGCAAATGATATTTAATATTTCCTCTCTAGCAGCACAAAATGTGCATTAATAGCTGTACTTTATAGGAACATGAGAGCAGAAGCAACATCCTCAGTCATCAGCTGCAGTCCAGGCTTTTGCAGTTGGAGGATAAAGGTGAAACTGATAAAGCCTGATAGTAGAACAATTCAGGTTTCTAGGTTTCTTTGCACCTACCCCTCTCTGACTGGAGAAAGCTGATGATTAGAAATTGACTTCTGGCAATCCATGCCCACTTGTCCTGAATTCATACAGTTTGTTAGCTTTAAGGTATTCTTGCCATACTTTTCCTCCTCATTATGTTCCCTTCCTCTTGCATATTCCTTCATGAATCATGTCCTGAGGTTCTTGTTCATATGGAGCCCACAGCAACCTTAATCTCCTCTTAACTTCTGTCTGATCACTGTTTTCTTGGGACTTCGTGCCCTTCCACCCAGAAGTTTGTTTGCAGCATCTTTTTCAGCATCTCAAGCAGGCTCCCAGTTTCTGCTGAGCTTTCTCTCTTTCCCCATTTCTTGCAGCTTTCTGTTTATTCTGTCTTCTTTTTAAAGTGCTTACTCTTTTAGCTGGGGATTGAGTTCCTCACTACAAATTAATTTCCCTGTTTTAAGATGCCCTTTGTTACTCTGACTTAAAGAACCTATAGGCTACTGCATTATTTATGAAAACTGGATACTTGATAGTGACAAATTGTGCATATATACATGTACTGCACTGAATGAAGCATACCAAATACATATACTCAGTAGTACTACATTGCATTTGTGTCTTTTTCTTTTTCTTTTTTTCTTCTTTTCTTTTTTTTTATTCCCTTCCCTTCCCCTGCCCTCCCCTCCCCATGATTTTTTGTCAAGAAAACAGAGAACAACTTTTGGAGCCTGCATTTTAATTTCTATTGAATTAGTAAGGATGCTATTTTTCTTTTGTCTCATGTGCGATGTAGTAATTTGTATTATAGTTTAGTTTGTCTTGTTGCAAGGATGACATGCAGCAATAAGGCCATAATCTCGTTTTATTTCTTGGTGTCCTGGTATCCAACTCTCAGAGACTACCTTCAGCATTATCTTTTTTTTTTTTGAGGGGGGAGGGACAAAGTGAAATAGTCTTTGAGAGTGAATTTAGGCCTTTTGCTTCACTAGGGTTTATCCAGCAAAAGAGTCAAGGCCATCAATGCGGGTGTGTGAGGGAGAATTCTAGTAATATGCCTTATCTTTGGTGCAAGAATCTTTGCATCTCCAACTTTTGGAAGCATTCAATGCATTAAGCTTTTGGAAACATTCTTTGCACTTTATATTGTGCTTTATAACAGCTGCTCTTAAAAGTCCTTAGTGAACGCCAGATAGTGGGTAGGAATTTATTTTCATAGCACAACCAGAGAATTTATTCATTTTCTTGATCAATATAGCATTTCAAGTTCAGTGACCCTTTTCCCTTTTCTGTATTTCACTGGTGCTGAAACTGATTATCTTCCTTCTTCCTTTACAGTATGCCTGGGATGCTAATGAAGAGTACCTCTTCAAAGCAATGATGGCTTTTGCAATGAGAAGATATTCCAGCAAGAGCACGACTCAGTAAGCACCTACTCTGATTTGCCTTATACATATTAAAATGCTGTACGTAGTGGTGCATTCTTTGCTGTAAAGAACTGTAGAAATCGTTATATAAAGTTCCTGAAAACAGACTATACCACTATATTTCTTTGACACACAGATATATGTTTGTCATGGTTTAACACCAGCTGGCAACTAAATAGCATGCAGATGCTCACACACCCCCCACAGTGGGATGAGGAGGAAAATTGAAAAAATAAAGTAAAACCTGTGGGTTGAGATAAAAGCAGTTTAATAGTTAAAGTGCAATGTGCTACTGCTAGTACTACTACTAATAAGAATGAAAGTGAAATAACAAGGAGAGACATATAAAACTAGAAGGGAAGAAGAAAAGAGAAAAAAAAACACCACAAAACAAAAAAACCCAGAACCCCAGTAAACACAAGTGATGCACAGTAAAATTGCTCACCACCCACCAAACGATATCCAGACCAACCCAAACAGCAATTGGTCCCTTCATGCTTAACTCTCCCCCCGCCCAGTTTCTATACTGGGCATGGCTGCTGTGATATGGAATACCCCTTTGGCTAGTTTGGATCAGGTGTCCTGTCTCTGCTCCCTCACGGCTTCTTGTGCCCCTCCTCACTGGCAGATCATGAGACTGAAAAGTCCTTAATTGGGGTAAGCATTACTTAGCAACAACTAAAAACATCAGCGTGTTTTCAGCATTGTTCTCAGACTAAATCCAAAACACAGCACTGCACCAGCTACTAGGAAGAAAACTAACTCTATCCCAGCTGAAACCAGGACTGTGTTAAACATCACACTCTCTTTGTCTTAAGCAATGTTCAGTCTTTGGACCAGTATCCCTGTTGATGTGAGTTCAACAGCTGCGGATCTCAGTGGATTGCGCCGTTTCACTTTAGCAGAATCTGACAGTAAGACATGATACTTTCTGCACACCATACGGGGAAGAGGTGAAGGGACACATTGGCAAGGTTAAGAAATGCAGTACAGATCCTTGAATAGGCAGCTTTGGTGCACATTTCAGAGCACAGCTCCAGTGGTATGCTGAAGATGAGCTGACTTGGGGAACTGGAAGGTGGATGGCTATGCTACTGCTCTGTTCTGCTGCGTGTATCTATCCCTAATATTGCAGTGGTTGAGTTACATAACGTCAAGAAGTTTCAGATATTGCAGTTCAGACATAAATCAGCCTCTAATTGGTTTTGGGATTAAATCCACCCTGAGGTATTGAATATTCTTCTCAGGTTTCTGATCCTTGCAATTTATGAAATTAGATATCAGAATAGGCAGACTATTTAGCAAGCTGTATTTTCAGTATGTATCTTAATTGAGAAACCTTATAAGTGAATTTCTATAGGTCTATTATTTTTTCTTTTTTTTTTTAGTCTTAAAGGAAAGATTTATAGTTCTGGTAGGCTAATGAGAATAAGGTTTTTAATTTACTTTAATAAACCCTGCTTCACGCTGTCATTGTATCAGATGAAGCATATTCCACGTTTGCAAAGGTATTAGTTACCTTTAGTCACATGGTGATTATTGTGGCTGCTGCACTTTCTCTTAAATACAAGGCGATTTCCCTCTCTGTGTAACACGAATGTTTGGTTCCTTGCTGTTTCATTTTTATTCCTCAGAAGTTGTCTCCTTTGAGCAAGACAGCCATTATACTGAGCTTAACAGAAACAGCCAAGTATGCTACTGCACCCAATTAAAATGACATTTAAAAAAATGAGTTCAAGATACAAGTTAATTAAAGGTGATTATGCAGGGCTTTTTCTCAGGTTTTCAAATTAGCAGAGGTTGCAGAGTATCTGATCCGTAAAGATTTGCTTTTGTACACTTATTTTAGTCTCATGTCCTTTTTGTAAATTACTTTCTTCAAAGTCATAGTTCTTTCACATAGCAAAAAACCTGGGTCAGAAGCCAGTGATCTTTTTCCTCTTTAAGCAAAATGGCTCTCTGCACATTAAAGTGAAATTAGAAAGCTTGGTGCAGGAAGAGTTAAAAAATCAAGCCAGTATGAAAGCAGTTAAAGTTTGAATGGAAGTTATCTCTATCCACTCTGGGAAATCACAGAATTTATGCTCACTTAATTCAGTCTCCTACCAAGACAATTTTTCCTATGGACAAATACGATAATGTCAGTGTCACTGCAGTTTGGAGGAGGGGTTGGACATGTCAATAATTTCCTGCTGCTATGTTTGTCAGAAGTGAAGTCAGTATAATATTTGGAAACAGCTAGGTGTGGTCATCTTTATATCTTTTTAAGATGGTATAGGACTTCCTTATGTGGGGTATAGCTTGTTGGGGTGTACCTTCGAGGTATAACTGATAACTCTTCTAGCACTTCTAGATACCTCTGGGGTCATGTGTAGACAGCATGTCAACCGACAGCTGTGCCGCTCTGAGATCTGGTCCAACTTGCTAGGCAACAGACTGAGGAGTTTCCTATTTATAAATTTCTCACAAGTCCCAGAGGACCTCTGACTCTTCAGAGTTCAGCAATGGAGATCTAGGTGAACCTCTCAGTGCACCCCAGCTAACCTGCCTGTTACATGAGATCAGGAAAGTTATGAAAGCCTCCATCCTGTTAGAAATCTGGAAATAATATACTCCTTTCCCCACCCGTGTGGCTGGCAGCTGGAGTAACTGGGTATAGAGGAGGGAGTGCAGCCCATCTCCATCCCGTTCACAGTGGGAATGGAGGTGCAGGACCACTCAGCATCCCAGATTGTAGAGCAGCATGCCCTGCACACTCTTGCATAGCTGGTAAGGAGAGTGTTAGCACCAGCAGGAGCTGGTGTCAGATGAATTACACTGCGCTGCAGGAGCTTTTACAGATTAATGCCAACACATTTTCTTTGGGAGCTGTAAAAGATCAATGATAATTATTCTCTCATAAAATAACAAACAAATTGTTTGTGACTGCATTCTGGTAGCATCTAAATTTACCCAAATTTTGCATCTGTTTAATTAAAGACTTTTGTCAAAATAAAGACTTATGAAAAATTCACCAGTATTTTATGTAAGCAAATGCTGGTTCTGCCAGGGTATAAATTCTGCACCATCCATAACCAGGATGTGACAAACCTCCCCTTTAACGTTGATTTCTAGCACACCCACAGCCTTGCAGTAACTCACAGCCGCAACTAACTCCCACATGAGACCAAATGCCATTAACTTGAGCTAGCTGGATCAGGCCCCAGAATAATCTGTCTGGTGGATCAGCATAACCATTGTTACAGTCTGTTCCATCATTTTTGAGATTCAAAGTCATCTTTTGTTAGGCTTCTGGAGCTGAATAAAAGCCAGCCTGTAACGACAAGCATTTAAATGTGCCGCGGGAAACAACAGCTGATGGTGCTGTTGCCCTTGTGTAACTAATGCAAAATGGACAGGATTGCACATTACATCTTGAGTTCTCTAAAGTTAATTTCTAAACTAGAATTTAATAAATAATGAAGCTCTGTTTAATGCTTGAAAGGCTTGTCAAACTTTTCAAGTTTGTATGAAACAAAGACACAATCCATCAAATTACTCAGTAATTATTAATACATATAAAATAAATATTTCTTTTTCAGTGAAGAATTAAACCCCCTTTATTTCCTGCTCTGTATATGGGTTCTCAATACGTACATTACTGAACTATGTGAGCCAACCTTTGATCTCTCAGTGTTAAAAAAATATTGTCTGTAGTCTGTGTTAGTAACCCTGTTTTTTATAATCTGTGACTCATTTGAAATAATATGCATCTCTTTTGGGCCTCAGACTAGTTGATCTTTAAAACAGAAAGAATGTCATCACATTTACTTTCATTCAAGTAATAGAATCTACTTTTGGTACGTCTTTTCCTCATTTGTATATTAAAAAAGCTGAAGTATTCCCCATGAAATGATGAGAAAAATATCCATCAACATTATCCATCTTCCTAAGACAGGCTTTTTTGGTACTAAAAATATTGTGTCTATTTAGAACAAGAAAATAAGCTTCTAGAGTTAAAGCTGTTACAGCAAGGTGATCTCATTGCTGCTGTTCGCAAAGAGGAAGAAAGTAACATTTCTTTGCAGGAGCAGCCGCACAGCACTGGCTTGGAAGGGGCCTGATGCCTTCAGGAGTTAGAGATAGGTGCTCAGGACCTGGGGACTGTGGTTCTTTCACGAGCTAACGACCGCTCGAGGCAACCAGCTCCCCAAGTCTCTGGCAGCTCTTTCTTACCCTAACCAAGCCTTTATATCTCCATAAGGAACAATGATGGTGTTTCAGGCCAAAGAACCATCAGGGTTTCCTGCACCCAACTCACTGATGTTCACTTGCATATATTAAAGGAAATGCAATTTCAGACTTCTGCCATGGTGCCATAAAGCAGAACCAGCAGAACCATTTTAATGATAACAGTTTCCTATAGTACCTGTGACAAAAGTCTTCTTGCCTGCTAAGGAAGTAGAAAGATGTCCGCATATATGTTTACAAATACATTTAATAAGCATAGTGCATCGAGATATCAGATTCTCAAATCTAAACAATATATAAGCATAGTGTAGTAATTCTTCTGCATGCTGTGAAACAAACCTGCGTGGAAACAGCACAGAGGAAAAAAGCCAAAAAGTGTACCTGCTGCAAAAAGATTTCCACATTGGTGCTTGTTGAACCGGTCTGTTTTGGTGTTTACTCAATCCCCTTTGAAATTCTCAGAAGCAGTATTACTCTTTTTGGAGACTGGGAGGATTTACAGCATTCAGATTCTGCCAATGGTGGTGGCAGTAAAGCCAGATTTTGGATTCTTATAATTGAGCAAAGATTTTAGACAAAATAGGGAGCAGAAAGGAGACAAAATTCAAGTATTCTAGCGTAAGCCTTGCTGCCCAATTGATTGAGTCAGTGCTGTTTGTTCTAGAGAAAGATATGTTGCCCCAAAATGATGAACTGCTATATCACATGCCGAAAGCTTTGACACTGGGAAGACCCCAGATTGAAGTGTCTCTGAATCTCTGAATGAGAGTAAGAAAGTCAGGGTGTTCTGCCAGTCTTTATGAAATTTATTGGGGATCTCTTTGTGGATCAGACTTTCCTCACTCACCCCATTTCAAAATCATCTGTAGGGCAATATGAACTCAGATTTTCTACCTGGGTCAGGTTTTGATTGCACTACAGAAATTCCAGCTTTAGGAACTGCAGTGAAATGAAGCCTTAGGTCCTACTGTTCTAAATTCTCCTGATGGAAAACTTCCTCTGCAGATACAATTTTGGATATTCTGTGAAGTCAGCAAGACACTCCCCCCTCCCCCAAATGTTGTGCTTTGCTTTTGTTTTGGGAGGACTAAATCTGCTTTGATCCTCTGACTGTTGCCAGCAAACTGATGTGAACATCTTTCCAAATTCCAGGGGATGACTTTCCTCTTTTTTCCATAAAAATTCTCTATATTTGCAAAATTGTCATTGTTCCATAATAGTAAAAGTGGCTGTTCCAGCACTGCAGACTTACTGATGTCAATTTTATTGTGTATCTCTATTTAATACATACCTTCTCTGTAAAACAAAAGGTTGCACTACCCAAGATACTCAGAATACTGCCCCAAAAGGTTTTCAGCAGTAAGTAAAATATTTGTGCAAAAATACGCATAGTGGAATACTGTGATCAAGCCAATGCCTGTTGTGCCTTAAAAGCAAACTCGTTCTTTTCTGGACAAAGTCTACACATTCATCGGCAATTTTGACTGCCTTGTATTCCTTCCTGCCTCATGCTTCCTGTTTCTCAGGCCACTGCAGAGGTCATTTAATTATGATTGTAATTAGCCGGCAGATGGCACTACAAAACAGAACTCTGCCGCAGGGGAGGTGGCTAGCAGCTGGGAATTCATCACCCTGAGAAGGATCACAGGTTGGAAAAGCAAATGTTAAAACCTGAATTTTGATGATGGACAGGCTAAATCTTAAAACCAATTGTAGTAGTAATGGATGTTACAAACATCACTCCAGTGAATTAAAAGAGGGGCTGCAATCTTCTTCACTGACATACTGCAGAGTTTCCTTCTCCAGAACAGCAGGAAGTATCTGAAGACTGACCATCCCAACTGAGGTTGGTCAAGACAGGAGAGCTTGTGACCAGGTAGAACTTGTGCAAAGGGGAAACGAGTCAGGGCTGCTCTCTGGAAATAAAAATGATCCTAATTCTTGGTCCTAGACTTTCAGAATATCTGCTTGCTGCTTGGACATGGTCAGTAAACCTGAGTCCTGAGCTAAATTCTTTAGGTTATTTATTAATGATCATAAAATCATAGAGTCACAGAATGGTTTGGTTTGGAAGCAACCTTAAAGATTATCTCATTTCAGCCCCCTGCCATGGGCAAGGACACCTTCCCCTAGACCAAGTTGCCCAAAACCCCATCCAACCTGAAAGTATATAATTATATATGTATATAATGTATAATGATAAAGAACTAAATATTTTTTCCCCATTTTTATCTCTCTAGCTCTCTTTCATAAAGACTTCAGCAGTCCTTTTATGGTACATGTGATGTTCCTTGCCATGCTGTAATTAATGTCACATTATACAATTCCTATGTATTATGCATTTGGCTGGTTTGTTTCTTAGTTGTGTGGATAAACTGGGAACACACAGAAAGACATAAGGTTACCATCTATCCTCAGTCACTACTATGATATATTGCCCTTCACTTTAGTTTAAATACCATGACATTCCATGGATTTTTTAAATGATACTTACACCTTTTACTACTATGAGTGATAGAAAACGAATTTGTAAGAATCTGAAAAAAGTAATTTAAAAGACATTTTTTTTTCAGACTTTTTACATAGTATGCCATAAGAAGCTGTGTGCCTGGGGCCTTCCACTATTAACTTCACATAAAGCTGAGCAATCTTTTTAAACAGATAAGATAAATCTTTGTCATAGCATAAGCTAAAGGTCATAGGCCAGTGTCAGTAGAATATATAAACTTAGCCCATTGCCCTTACTCTGTGAATAAAGATGTGAAAAAGAATAACATCGGTTTCATTGCTCTTCCCTCCAACAAATGTATCCTATATGAGGACTGCATTCATTTGAAAATCATGTGGGGAATCCCTCATTCCTGGTTCCTGTGGCATTACCTGTCAAAACCAAAGTTCTTAGTTCAACCAATGCATTTGCCCCTTTATATGGCTTTAGTCACAGCCCTAATGATTAAGATGCAAGTATGTATTTTTCCATTTGATTGCACTAAATGTGTATGCAAGACTATACAAGTTTGTAATAGATTCAGAAATTCATTTTAAGACTCAAGTTTGGTCTTAGTAAGCTTTTTTTATTATTATTCGTATTGGGAAATAGGAAATGCTGGGAGTGATATTTTTCTCTTGAGCATTAACTGTAAACGTTTTTAAAGTAAGAACTTTTCCCCCTTTAAATGAAAGATATATTTTAAGAAAATCTGTAATATTTCAGTAATTCCTTCTGTGCACTTTAATGATGATTGTTGTTTTAACTGTCTGCAGAATTTCCAATGTGCTGCTCTGCAATGTGACGGATAGGGTGTCCTTTTGGTTCGTGGTCACAGATTCTTCAAAAAATGTGACAACTGTTCCTGGAAGTGAGGTAGAAGCTGCCATCAGGTACAGCCACTGCCTCTGCAACCTTTTCTTCCTTGCTGACTGAGAATGCTTTCTCTCTCTGGACTTGTGTGAATGAGCACTCTGCCTCTTTAAGGATGAACCTGTCCAAGTAGTTAAAACACCAAGGGGTCACTACTCTTTCATGCATGTGAGATTAGAGGATTTTTAACAGTACCACAGAATGCAAAGCACGTCAGCATTGGGATTATGACTTGGAAGGAGTCTCCCTTACTGCTGGAGCCCCAGAAGAAATCTAGCCCTTTTCTAGAGCTTTACCTGTAATTTGCAGGTACTGTACTGCACATATGCTGCTCTCATCCAGCTGCTGTATTTTCCAGTGAGAGAGCCTTCTCCCTCAGATGAGAGAATTGCACACTTTCTGGGTGTAATTTATATCATAGAATCATAGAAACATTTAGGTTGGAAAAGACCTGTAAGATCATCGAGTCCAGCCATAAACTGTTAACACTTGACAGTGTTAAGTGTCAAGTCCATCACTAAACCAAGTCCCTAAATGTTACTTCAATGTCTTTTCAATATCTCCAGAAATGGTGACTCGACCACTTCCCTGGGCAGCCTGTTTCAATGCTTGACAACCTTTTTGGTGAAGATGTTTTTCCTAATATACAATCTAAATCTCCTCTGGTGTAACTTGAGTCTGTTTCCTCTCACCCTGTTGCTTGTTACTTGAAGAAGAAAATGACACCTACCTCTTGCCCTACTAGTTTCAGGTAGTCGTAGAGAGCAATAAGGTCTCCCCTGAGCCTCATTTTCTTCAGACTAAATAACCCCAGTTCCCTCAGCTGCTTCTCACAGGGCTTGCTCTCCGGACCCTTCACCACCTTCCTTGCCCTTCTCTGGACCCGTTCCAGTACCTCAATGTCTTTCTCGTAGTGAGAGGCCCATAACTGAATACAGTATTCGAGGTCATTTAACTTTCATTGCATGACACATGCACATCTATGCCTAGACTAATGGCCACAGGCTCCCTTTTGGTGCTTCTCAAGCGCAGTTCATCTGACTTAATTTAGAAGTCAGCTTTCACAATACAAGAGCTCCTGTGAATTCTTTATGACCAGAGCTGGCTGTGTCCCAGCTTGGCTTAAATAATCTAACAATCTTATGCTTACATTCTTTTCATATCTCTTACTAGAATGCCAGTCGATAACGTTGTTGAGCGTTGCTTGTACAAATGACCGTACAGTACAAAGCAGTTTGCTTTCTACTAAATATCACATTCTGTAGCCAATAAAAGGAGTGTAGAGCTGAAGAAGGGGAAAAAAAAAAAAAAAAGGGTAATCTGACTTCAGCATTACTCGTACATTTCTGGCGCATGGAGTGGAAAACAGACCTCTTTGTTTTCAGGCATTCTGTACTTTGTCTTGAAAATTCATGTTATCTCTATGGAGGTGTAATGCCTAATTCCTGATGAATGAGTATGCGTTCTTTGGGAAGGATTAACTTAAGCTCATGAGCAGATTAGACTATTTCCTACACAGACACCAAACAATAGCTTCATAGCATTAGTGAAGGAAGCAGATTATTTATTCACTGAAGTTCTCTGTCAGAGTGATGGAATGCAGGGGTTTTGCATTTCTGTTATTCTTTGATACCTTCAGTAGCATAAGCTGATTTATTTAAATCTTTTATGTGCCCTGTTTGCCACAGAAATTGGATGCTGTTATAGTATGTTTGGTTTTTAACTGTTGTCTGTCACCTGATAAAGAATATGCTATTTATAGGAACTTTTATAACTTAGAAATGAGAAATAAAATGATCTATAAAACTACAATACTTTTTATTCAATTGCTTCTAATTGTAGGCTTCCACAGTAAACCATTATTCTAATTCTTCATGCTACAGTAGCACATAAGAACACTACTCATGGACCATAATTTTATTGTATCATATTCTCTACACAGTAAGAATAAAGTAAACCTTTTCAGAGCTCTGTATGAGACTCAAGATCTTGCATAAATATACACAAGGTATACTTATGCATATACAAACATGAAATGCACCTGTAGCTGCCTGCATGTGTTTCAGCACATAATTCTGTAACTCCAGCTGTTAGATGAGGGTGAACAATGCTTATTTCAGCTGTTCACAATGATTCTTTCATATCAGTAAGGATAAAAATCTTTTCTAAATCAAAGACGGATTACCGTATAACGAGTCTTTTAATATGCCATGGCTTTCAGTCTTCCCCAGGAATGCTAGCTTTTCATTAAGGCTAAGAACTTCCTGTTTAAGGGAAAGGCAAACATTATAATTTCCAAGAAAAAAAATTTGCAAAATCTTACTTGCATTTCCCATATATTTGTTCTTAGGAAATACTTGCTTTATGGTAATTAGATGGAATTGTATACAGGAAAGCTGCTTGTAAATCATACAACTACAAACAAAAAGAATCTCTCAAGAAAAATATGTGTAATAAATTTTCTCAAAAATTTTTAACATTCTGAAAGAGCTAATGAAAGATACTGCTAAAGCCTCTTAAGGCTGCTTAGATTCAGATCCAAAAATGCCTGAAAATACTTAGAAGCAGTGACTGTGAGTGAAAGTATGTGTTAAAGGGTAGCAATTGAAAGATACTGCTAAAGCCTCTTAAGGCTGCTTAGATTCAGATCCAAAAATGCCTGAAAATACTTAGAAGTAGTGACTGTGAGTGAAAGTATGTGTTAAAGGGTAGCAATTGGAAAAAATGTGCAAAGTATAAATCCTTTTATATGCACCCTGCGGGGAGGAAGGGCATGTAGGCTATATGGGTGGATTCCTCTGGACCAAATTTTATCTTGTGCCTCATGGACCTAAGAAAATCCACAGGAGCAAGAGCAGATGTACCAGCCCATCACATGCAGGGTGGTTCAGTCTGAGGAACCAAGGGGCACTGAAAAGTAAATCCACTTCTGTGCTAATCTTGAATGCTGCATGAACAAGATAACAGAGCCACTGTTACAGATTACAACCTGCTAAGTCTTCAGTGTATGGTCCAAACTAGAAATAAATAATAATACTGCAGGTCTCACCTATATTTCCCAGTTTTTCACATGAACACATACAAAACTCAAGTGTACAAAAGTTTGTAAGTGTGTGGATGTCTGTGGATTACTGACAAGGTCTGTATTAAAATGAAGGTCTGTGTAATCTTGCCAATATCATACTGGATCAAACTCAGCCCTCCCAGACTTGCAGCACCTATATGATTTTTTTTTCCTTCTTTTTATCTTTTTAACTTGTAAAATGCCATTATAAAAAGTTGTGATGTTCTTTGTGTTTTTATGAAGGATGAACCGGAACAGAATCAACAGTGCCTTCCTGTTGAGCGACAAAACACTGCAGTTCGTGAAGATAACCTCAACCTTATCACCTCCTGTGGAGCCCTCCACACCTGTCTGGCTTATTGTATTTGGTGTTGTTCTTTGTCTTATTTTGGCTGGAATTGTTTTCCTCGTTGTTGCAGGGATTCATCAACGCAAGAAGTAAGCGGCTTAGCTTTTCTTCTGTCTTAACTGAATACTGCAAGTTAAGCCATCTGGGCTGGTTTTGTTTTTCAGATCAGTCTCAGAGAAATTATAGCTGTGCCCCCCTCTCCCTCACTAGGTAAAGATAACCCATCTGTCTTTTTCTGAGAAAAGGAAGTATAGATGTGAAGTGTAACAACTGTGAAGTATAGTAATGTTGAGTTGTACTGAGGAAATAGGGAGTACAAGAATATGATCCTGGAGAATACCTACCTAGACATGATAGCTTTACAAGACATTTGCTGTCATTGTTCTCAAGGTTTAGTGCCACAGGCGAGCCTCCTCTCACAGACTACCCAAATTGCTACCAAGAAGGAGAAGCCTAGCAGTGATTGTGTGCCTCCTGGCAGGGCTAAAAAAATTGCTGCTGCAGTTTCAGAAGACTCAGTAGGGGACACAATAATGATTAATGTATGGCTGAAGAGGGTCTGCTCAATGGAATGGTGCATGGTCTCACCTTATTGAGTGCAAAGAACCCAGCCCTTCACAGATTTCCAGATCTCCCCATGAGCCTAAGTGTTTGCTGTTTGGCAGTAGGGTAGGAGAGAGACACACTCTTTTTCTTTTCATTTCTGCCCTTTTTCTCTTAGTTTCTGTGGTGGCAGTGGTGAAAAAGAGAAGGCTACTCATGCTGTCCTAGTGTGAGCATGTTGGAGCAAGACAGAGAGCAGGTGGAATTTTGTTTCTGCCCTTTCTGTTGGCTTGGAAGTGGGCATAAGGAATAGAAATTTCTCAGGTCATCTGAGATTCTGCTGTACAAGTTCAGTTTCTGCCATGCTTTAGGCTGCCACAAAGGTTATGCTAAGCATGAAAAAATTATGACTTCAGCAACAGAGTTATATAGGAACAGCAGAAGAACTGAAAAAGGGTAAATCTCTGCTGACAACTAGATAATGTTAAAATTATTGACTATATGGTGAGCTGCATCCCCAAATACAACAGAACAAAGAATTCTTGTAAGAAGATATGAAGAGTGGTGTGTTGTAGAGACACTTCCTTTCTGCCTCCTTATCACCTTGAAGAACATTATTTTAACTGCAGAAGAACACCACTTATTGTGAAGGATAAGTGCTTCTCATAAAGAACCTGTAGTAGTGGAGTCAGAATCCCTTTAGTTATATTTTGCATTCAGAAGAATTGTATGTTTTGCAAGCCCTCTGTTTTTAAACAGCAGAATTTGACAAATAGATGAGAGATGCTGTTGGGGGAAGAGTCTGGGCAGATACTTCGGGTGTGCGATTAGCTTAGGCCCTGTCACAACCTTCCATGTGGTATGGGCTGAGTTATTTCATCTCTGAACCTAGGCAACTTCTTCTGTAAAACTGGAGAATGATGTTTCACTATATGAAGCCCATATGTGCCCTCTGTGTTAGTAAAATGGCTGTGTGTCTATGTAGGGCTTAACTTAAAGGGGGTCTTTGAGCATTTCAAATAAGTGTAATATAAATTATGCTAAATAGCTATGATTTTTTTTCTAGCTAAAATAATAATTTGTGTTTCATATCATGCTGAAAGACATTATTTTCTCCCCTCTTATTTTCAAAATAACTCAGCCGAGCTTGAGCGGTTCCCCTCAATATGGTGTAAACTACATGCTCATATTATCCTACCACCACTAATATGACTTGCTGCCTGCCTGTGGTCAGTTGGCATCCTCTCTGTGTCATGCTCTTGTCCTTTTACTTGTTATGCTTCATTTCTCCTGTTTCCCTTCTTTGCCTTTACATATAACTTTTCCTCAGAGCAGATCCCACCATGATTGAACTCCAACCCTCCTTTTACATCAATGGCATCTGCAGGCAGGGGCAAGGGAGTGAGAGAGAGGGTAAACTACTGTTACAAAGACTGGAAAAATAACATGGATGGTCTAAGCTATTTGGCTGCTTGAAAGAAGAGCCAGACATCAGAGAGGAGAAATTAGAAAGTACTCATCTCTTTTTCAGGCATCAAAGTATGTGACCAGGTTGTCAAAGATTTTAGCATGCCCATTAATGAGTTTTACTGGAAATCTGTCCAGAACTGACATAGCAGCAGCTTTGCTGCCTAGTAAGCCGTGTTGGAAATCTGGCCCCAAGGACAGTGTTGACTTCTTATAACTCATAAAGTCATATCAACCATGGAATGGTCTGAGTTGGAAGGGACCTAAAGCTCCTCTAGTTCTAACTGCCCTGCCATGGGCAGGGACACCTTCCACTTAGACCAGGTTGCTCAAAGCCCTGTCCAACCTGGCCAGGGATGGGGAAGCCACAACCTCTCTGGAAAACCTATTCCAGTGTCTCACCACCCTCAGAGGGAAGAACTTCTTCCTAATATCTAATCTAACCTACCCTCTTTCAATTTAAAGCCATTACCCACTGTTCTATCACAACATGCCCTTGTAAGAAGTAAAAATGTAAAAATTAAAAAAAAAAAAAAAAAAAGTTTGGAATTCTGTATTTATAGGCGTTTAAAGTATCAGTTAAATACCTCTGTTAAAGGAAGCCCAAAAGCACATGCTTCAGGCCATTCGTACTCAGGGTGGCTGGGAAGCACTACTGGCCTATAATGGAGTTTCAGGAATGAGTTACACTCATGCCTTATTTCTTGAATTAAAAAATTTTCTTAATTAGTCCTTCAGTGTGCATCACTGCCAACATATAAAATTCCAGCCCACAGCTGTCTGCAGTTGAAGAGCTCTGTGTAATTGTAGCCTTTCACTTTACAGTGAGCTGTATCAGACATACTGTCTCCCAGCCTTATGTTTGTTCTCCTGTCATTGCAGCTATAGGACACCTCCCTGTCTGATAATAGATTTGGCACATACCCAGGGCAGGATCATCCTCTACTGGTTATGCTGAACTAGACTGAAGTCTATCCTTACCCCCCAAAATACCATCTGCCGCAGAGGCCATAAACATTTGCCTTGGGAAGAGTGAAAACAGAGTAAGCACACGTTTTTTCCGTCTGTTACTCTCCCAATGTCTAATTTACAGCTGGGGGCCTTCCTGAGCTGTGTTGGGTTTTCATGTATTGAGTAACCCACAATGTTTTCTTCTTAACTTGTTAGTATCCCCTTGGACTCAGAAATTTTTGGCTTCTCTGAATTCCTATGGCAACGAGTTCTACACATCTCCTCTTCATGTAATTTCATAGAATCACAGAATCATAGAATGGTTTGGGTTGGAAAGAACCTTAAGATCATCTAGTTTGAACCCCCCTGCCATGGGCAGGGATACCTCACACTAGACCGTGTTGCTCAAGGCTCTGTCCAGCCTGGCCTTGAACAGTGCTAGTGATGGAGCATTTACCACTTCTTTGGGCAACCTGTTCAAGTGCCTCACCACCTTTACAGTAAAGAACTTCTTCCTTATATCCAACCAGAACTTTCCCTAAGTCTGAACCCATTACCTCTTATCACTACAGTCCCTGATTAAGAAAATTTCTTGCAAACCTGCTTGTTAGCATCTTCTTTTATGTTCTGGCCCCGCAGTTTTTGTACTAAAGAACACTCCTTTTAGCAACGTAAGAGCAGGTACAGCACTCAAGAGGTTTCCCCTACTACTGCCCATGTTTATTTTTAGCAAATCTGTAATGCCAAGAATCTCCCAAAGGCCAATAAAATTTTATTATTGTTAATATCGCTGTTATTGGCAGTTACACTGACTCAGGTTGTTACGGTTGTCCTGAGTCAGATTGTTACAGTACATGTTGCAGGATAGGAAGAAGCAGTGGAGCTGAACTTTGAGTTTCTTATCCTCTGAAACTGCTGATGCTGCAGGCTGTAAAGTGTAGCAGGTTTTTAAACTATGAACTAGTAGATCTCAAGGTCAGAATAAATCTGGAACTAAAGGAACATCGTGACATGTTGACTGATATTTCTGTATTACATCCTCTTGTGGTTGTATTTTTGGATAATTTTAATATGCTTTCGGTGGGAACTGGAGCCTGGAAAAGTGAAAGCTGTGCAATTGTTTGATCTAGAACACAGAAGTATAAATACTGGGTGGGAAGGTGACTGTTAATGAAGATTGACTGAAAAACACGGATTTGCAGCATTAAGAGTACCTAAGTTCTGGAGATCATCAAGGAGTGTGAGGGCATTCACGTCTCCACATTTGGAGACTATAGTCTTAAGATGATCAGTTTCTAAAGTTATGTTTTAATTTGCCCACATTATGGGGTAAAATCTATAACATACCTAACAGGGTCAGACTAGATGCTTAATGTGGTCCTTCCTGACATAAAGCAAAAACAGATGTAGAGGTTTTTTTCCATTTTTGTTTTTCACCAGCTTTTCCTTCTGCACTCTCCAGTCATTCTACAGAATGAGAAGGTGAAGTAATATGTATAACATGCTTACAACATGTTTACTTTAGGTTTTCTGATTCCTGATTCCTGATCTCAAACCACTAAACCAGGGTTTCCAGTCTTTAAGCCTCCACCATCTGTGGTATGCTTACAGCAGCAAAGAGGTGCACCAGATTATGCTTTTCATAACCTGTAATGAACTTCTGACTATATATGCAGTTTCCTGGCTGTGGAATCATGGTGGAGTGCTGCAGGTCAACAGAATAAGATGATTTTCTCTTTCTTGTTTTTAGAAAGAATAAAAAGCCAACAGAGAGAGAAAATTTAGAAGAGAAATGCGAAGTGACAATAACAGTAGAAAATGGGATTCCTTGTGAAGTGCTGGATTTAAAAGCAGGCCGAATTAACGGAGTCTTTGCAGCAGATGATGAACGGTTCACATCCTTATGAAATGCTGCCATTGCTCTCTGGTGTTTTTTTGAAAGACTCCTGTGCCTACCTTATCTCGTCACTACTCCTCAATGTCAAACATGAAGACAAGAAAAATGTCCTTTCACTTAATTTTCCTCAAGAGAACCTTTTGCTGATGACACATACACTTGAACCTCCATTACAAAGCTTTTGTTCATGGGCAAAGCAAATGAGAAGACCTCAAATGATAGCCATTAAAGATTACCAGAAGATGTGCAGCAAAACAAGGTTGAAACCTGCCTTGTGTCAGGCATTTAATTTGTAATGATTATTTAAATATGTCCATCGCTTGTTTTCCCCTAATATAAATGTGAAACTGCATTATTCCTGAATGTCACTGGGGATAACATTTATCATTGTCAATTCTTGCTGGGCTTTCTTTCAAGCCATATGCAAAAGTTTCTCTGTAAAATGACTTGGTTTTGCTGATATGCAGTATGCCTTTGGATGGAATAGTGATCAGTGCATGGAAGTTTTCATTTATTGAGAAAAAAAGCAGGCTTTCACAGCCTCCATAACAGCAGATTAAAAAGCAGCTGGACCATATATAGCTTTAAGGCTAGCAAAGGTCTGGTACTAAAACTGTTTTTCATTTAACAGTCAAAGTCACAAAGCATATGACCAGGAAATTAAGAGTTGCAAAAGTTTAAGATCCGTTGAAAGTAGAAGTTTCAACAAAGGGCAGATTTCTGAAGGTGCAGTCTGTAGTGAGTGGCCCAGCTCTCATTAAATCTATGAGGACATTTCACAGCTCTGAAAAAAAAATCCCCCTTACATTTTTAAATAGTGAAACTAGAGTAGACATCCAAGACATAGCCAGCCTGGGGTCAGGTGAACCTTCATGTGACAGCTGGAGAGCTTCTGAAAAGGTTCAGTGCTTGAGACACTAGCTGCTGGGCTTGGTGTACCCAACCTGCGTGACAACATGTAGGTGGTGGTAAGTTGGCAGAGACTTTTCAGACCTGCGTTGCTGTTTGTGTGGCTGGGAGTTGAGGGCATCAAATGGTGCCAGACCCTGAACTGCAGTGTTGGATTGCCATACGTACAGACTGTAGTATCTGGGCCCTGATCCCATTCCCATTTAAATCTGTGATAAAATTCTGACTGATTTCAGAAGAACTGAGCTCCAGTGAAAGGGGGTTCAAGTGTGTGGGTAACTGTACACAGAGAATGGAAGTGTGATGCAGTATCTGAAATCACCAAAGATGCCCATATCACTGGAGGCAGAATTTAACCATTAGGCATCCTGTTTGCTGTGTTTGGAGGCAATATTAGAAAACCCATTTATTTACCAGGGTTATTCCATCAGACTCCTCACAAAGAAGAACGGGGTAAAATAGTGTCAAAGCTGCTTGTAAAGGACCATCCAGTCCTAAGGCTAAAATGTTTCTTGTCTCTCAGGGTATACATCCTTCAGCATTTTGGCTGTATTGAGCACTTTTGGCTGTCAATTTGACTTAGCGCTGGCTGTTGCGAACAGGGTGAGCAAAAGGGGAGAAATGGGGAAGAGGAGGGTAAGCTGCAGGACAAAGGGAGGAAGCTGAGAGGGAGAAGCTCAAGGGAGTTGGGGGAGAAGAGGGCTAAATGCAAAATAAAACTATGGAACCCACTGATAATTTACCTCATGTGGTCTCATCTGTCACAGCTGTCCTGGTGGTGGGTCCCTCTGGACAAGGATGGCATCTTCTCTGTGTCCCAGATGGTGTGCTGCTCCATTCTGAAAAGGATTAATAAAGTCAGTTATTCATGATAGTATCTCAGTCCTTCAAAATTACCATCCACAATGTGGAGATATATTTCTCATAGGAATGTCAAAGATGAAGCTTACTGGTGTTTAAAATTGTATGGAGGGAAGATACAGAGTACAGTGTTATTATTGCTTCCTCAGTCATTACCCCAAGGTCTTTCACTTAGGCAGAGTTTTATTGAGGTAATTCAGATCCCATAATTTCTAGAACTTCACACTTTTTGTATTTTTTGTAGGACAGATAGCTACACTGCAGTGTGACCACAATGGGTTGCTGTAACTGCAGCCCCTCTGTAAGAACCCGTGAAAGATTTTGGTGAGAAAAGCTTGGCGGTGCAAGAGCAACTTCAAGCTACTGACTAAGAATTACTATTATCCTGTATTGTATTATATGATACCGAAATAAAATTCATTCGATATGGAAAAGGGCCAAGCATATCTGAGCAAAATAATTATCAAGGTCTGAGTGAAGAATTCAGCCCATGGCACTGGTGGATAATTTGAAAATAGATTGAAAGCCTCTGACCAAAAAACATTATGTGATGTGGGCTGAGTCTGGTGGTAGGTATTTAATCACTGACTTCCTCCCAGCTTACCTTTTAGCCACGTAATTACTTTACAGCAGTTTGGTGTAATGTTCTGCTAATGATGACATGGGATTTACTCAGATCATACATCTTGCTTGCCTCTCTGCTGACAGAAAATGGCTTGAGAGAAGCAAATGATACATGAACAGGCACATATCACACTTAGCAATGCTTTGAAGTCAGGGTTGGTATTAGCTCTTTCACTGAAATAGGTACCACAAACTGGGTTAATCAAGGGCGCAGTGCTACAGAAGTCTCTGCAGCAGGATCATATTAGAAAACAAAGAGCATTTTGATTTAGTAAAGGCTGTCGTCCAGAGCCTGCAAATGGTACAGTACAATTTATATTCCTTGAGGATCTCACCCAGATGTTTTATGTAGCTTTCACCTTTTTTTTTCTTTTTCCTCTAAACCACTTGCCATCAAACAACCTGATAATAAACAGAAAAATGAGGAACAAACAATATAGACTGTACTGTAAACTGCTTCCTAAAACAGTGAGTTGTTCTGCTTTCAGTTACATTTGTGCCATGCCAATGAGTTTTGACAAAGGAACATGGCGTGCCGGAGACTACCCTGTTTAATTTTCAAGAGCTCCTTTTGAGAGAAAAGAGAGTAGAAAAGGAAATTCAGTTAAATGAAGCAATAAAAGCAAAGAAGTTCTGTTTGAAGAGTTGACATTTCAGGAAGGATGTTACAGTTCTGTTCAGCTTACTTGAGAGAGATGTCTAGGCTAGAATGAGCACAAATCATGCATGAACAAGTTGTTTACACTGTCAGTCATTAGCTACACATTTGTAGTGCTAGAGAATGTTGGGAACTCTGCAGTGCCCTCCTTGAATTAGAGCCAGCATTGGTTGTGAAGCAACTGTTTGCTGTGTGCAACCTTCAGTGTTGTATGGATCACAGACTGGTCTTGTAGATGAAGCTAGCAGTCTTTGTTTACCTATATTTATGCAGGGAAGATTGCAAACTGTGAGCAGATGCTGAAGTCCTTACTTGAGCCATTCTGCCACTTGCTTGAAGGAAAGCTAACCATTGTGTCCTGCAAGCTGATGCTTACTCTGTGTTAGAAAAAACTAGACTGAAGCTTGTTCTGTCACATCAGCATTTGTCTTTTCCCTTCCATGGCAGTGTACAATACTTTGAGAAGTTCTGTGGTTCTCACTCCTAAACATCTCCCTGTTAGCCACCTTAAAGTCTGGTGCTCACTACTGGACCCAATATTCCTACAGGCTCTGCCCTACGTGGTCGTATTTGCCTGTCCAGGTATGACATTTGCTTCTGTTGCATTGACCTTAATGGAGAACTCTTTCCTGGCTATGCCTTCATAAAGAGACACCTTTGTTATGCATTTTGAGGGAAGACAGAAGCCAGTTCACAGTTTCTACCATTGTTCACAAAAGAGAAGGGTGAAGTGGGCACAAGGAGCCTTAGGTTAGTATTCAAGTGCTGTTCCTTCATCACTGTGAGAATGAAATAATTCCCAAATTAATACAAGTTGTGGAATTAGAACAGGAGCTTCTGGTGTGATAATTTGGTTCTTTGAACTGGGCGTCATTGTTTTCCAAGCAAGGAGAAATACCACACCTTGAAGGAAAGAGTTTTCTTATGTAACCTCCCACATGTGGAAAAACAAAAGAAATTAAATCTTAGGGCAGAAGGGCAACAAAAATGTAAAATAACTCCCAGTGAGCAGTGTGAGTCTGTGTTTCTAGATACTCCTAAAAACATGGCTCTGCTGCCCTCAGAAATTTGGTCAGTTCATCAGTGCAGTAACCTGTGACTCATAAGCTGTTTTAAATGTGCCAAGTTTTTATACAAAATGCATTGACCAACTGTCCACGATCCATTAGCAATGAGCAATCTGCTTGGTTTTCTATGAGCAGTTTCTTTTAGCCTCTCATGGTTTTTGTTTCCTTTTAATGTGGCATGCAGGGAGGGATGTGTGCAATGGAGTGACACCACAGCTTCCTATGCTGACAATTGCTAATGAAAAATTTGCACTGTTAGATATACCTAATTTGATGGACTGAACTTGCTAGTTTTCAAATCACATAAAGCTAAAGTACATTGACAGTGATGAGTGATACACACTTGCCAGCACAAATGTGTCAGTATGTTCAGTTCCATGAATACATTAAGCACTGTGGATGCACTTAGCATAATGCGTTTGTGTTTTAACTGGATATTCTGTGGCTGGATTGATGTTTGCATCAGAGGAATTCCACCTTTATAGCATGTATTCAACTTTGCTGAAAGTAAAGTCAGAAGGTTCGGTATGAGCTGAATTTGACCTAAGATCAAAAAGAAAAGTTTGATTTTGCTGTTGTCTTCCTTCTCCTGTGTTTCCCTTTCCCTTGGAGGTGGCAATCTGAAGCCATCAAAGTATCTTATTAGCGACAGCAACGGCTAAATAGGAAACATTTAATTTTTGAGAAATAACGAGAGAGTGTGTTCTGGCGTTCTTTCTGTCAGCTTCTGCCTCTCTCCTATCATTTAGATCCTAATTGCTACAAATTACAGTGTGTAGTTTTTATCAGTTGTGGACCAACAGACTCAGGAGTGATGTACACTATGATATTGTATTGAAACAACATTGTAGATGCTGATGTGTAGACACATGTTTAGTGTAAAACGAACTGGGAGCACTCAGTAAAACTGAAATGAGAACACTGGATGCCTAGATGAAAAGCTGTGTTTCACAGGATCAGTACCTTTCCCTTCATTGGTGGGGCAAGGTGGCTTTTTGTAATGGGCAGGGCATAAGGAATACAGAGTATTGTGCCCCTGGGTGCTTCCCTCTCCTTTGCTTTCTTAGCATATGGTCTTGATTTTGATTGTGGCCTTCAGCAGTGACACTTTATGATATCCTAATTTAACCTGCTGGTTTGTACACTCATCTGCCTTCCTGAAAATCATTCAGCTTTCTCCAAAACCGTGGAAAAACACTTTGGTTTCCTGACGCTTTGGGCAACTGACAGCATCTTTACACAACTCCTGATATTGTGATGTTGTCTTCAGATGTGGGGCTTGCCCCTACCCACAGGGCAATTCCCTCCTTGGCGATGGTGAGCACGCTTTGGCTTGGGGAACAGCCACCAGTCTGTGCCTCTATTGGAGCGAAAAAGTGTGGCGCAGAGGTCATAGCTTTTCTTTAAGTCTGAAATCCAGGCAGTGAAGCAGCCTGCCATGGAACAGCAGTTTATGGAGGGATATGAATTAGTCATCCAAGGTGCCAGCCCCAACCCCAGGTTGGCAGGGTGCAAACCCCTCCCTGCTCTATGAAGTTACTGGGATATGGCCGTGTGGCCAAATCAGCTGCAGGAGGTGGGTGCAAGCGAGGTAGAAGCTCCCCCTGCCTCAGTTCTTCCCCTCTGAGATGAAGGTCCTGTGTGGGGGGGCAGCAGGTGGGGAGTCTTTCTGCCCTGCACTCATTGCCTTGACCTCCATTCTTGCTGGACAATGAGGAATTAATTCAACCAGCCATTGATCCACCCTGTCACTGCAGAGGAAGAGCCAGCTATGCCAAGACCGGCTGCTGGTATGTGCCTTTTGCACCGGAGCTGGTCCCAGGTGGCTCAGAGGTTGAGCAGGACAGAATGTGCCTACCTGCAGAGTAACCGAGATGTCCACCCTTGCTGCAGCACAGCTCTGCTCCCAACCTAGGGAGCAGACACAAGGATTTCACATAACTCCCTTCTTGTAGGAGTGCTCGCAGTGAGGGGAAAGGCCCCGTCACATGGGCTGAGGGCAACTGGTGAGCCAGAAAGCCAGCACCCCGATCCCGGCAGTGGCAGGAGGGCTTTTGTCTGGAAAAGGGCGTATGTCATGCATGCAGAAGAGTTAGTCATGTGGGAAAAAGGCTGCTCAGGGGATTAAAAGGACTATTTGCCCAGCCCCCGGTTTGAAGCACCAGGAAGAGGGAGAGGAGCTGGGATTGCCCCCCAGCAATGCCCAGGTGCAGCTGCAGCAGTGTGGCCCCTCTCCAAGTACTACTGTAGTGTCACAGAAACGTGCGCTGGGGCTGAAGCCATGCTTGGGCCATCCACTGCCTCCACAAAGCCACTTTACGGGGAGCCCTCAGAGCAAGGACTTGCCAGGTATTTAACTGATTTGAGCAGCTCTTTGGCAAACAGCAGAGGAATGGCAGAGAGTGGCTCAGGCGCAACCCTGCACAGGCAGCGGGACGGCTGTTCCACAGCAGCTCGTCCTCCTTGGGGATGCTCCAAGCCATGCAGCCCTGGTGCTATGCAGCCATAGCCCTTCAGAGCTCCTCTCTGTAAATCAGTCACTGAGTAATGCTTATGTCTGTCTTTTATGCACTAGGCAGAATAACAAAGTGCAGCAGAGAGCTTAGGCAATTATCCTGCCTGGAAAAAAATTGCCTGATAATGATATTTTAAGCAATTTAAA